ATTCAGCACTTAACCATTCTGACCCTCTTAACCATTCTGACCTCTTAACTATTTTGCACTAAATTATTCAGCAATTGCCAAACAGTCCCTTAAACCTTGCTTGATATTACCTCAGGCCCAAATTCATACGCAAGCCCGACCCAAACTATTTCTCACTAGTCACGTGCTACTCACTGTCCTTAAAAACTCAGGATCCGTTGCTTCATGTATTAACCGCTTAAAACTCTCATTTATCCACATCCGGATCACCATCGTACGGACGTAACTCCGTTCCTTATTTTCCAATCGAACGGCTGAAAGCACACCCAACAAAACACAAAATATGTCCTCCTGTTCATATATAAACCAACTGGCTCAATTGAAATACATCAAAAAAAGAGTAAAAACAAAATTCGAAGAGGATGTCTGGGAGAGGCAAAGGTGGAAAGGGATTGGGAAAGGGAGGAGCTAAGCGTCACCGGAAAGTTCTCCGGGACAACATCCAGGGGATTACCAAACCGGCGATCCGGCGTTTAGCCAGACGAGGCGGTGTCAAGCGTATTAGTGGTCTTATTTACGAGGAGACGCGTGGTGTTCTTAAGATCTTTCTAGAAAATGTCATTCGTGATGCAGTTACATACACCGAACATGCTCGCCGGAAAACTGTTACCGCCATGGACGTCGTATATGCTTTAAAGCGACAAGGACGTACTCTGTACGGTTTCGGTGGTTAGGATATTAATTTTGATGCTTGAATCCTTCTCTTTTTTGCGGCGTATTAGATCTGTATTGTTCAGTTTTGATTTCGTCTTGTTGATGTGAAGTGCTGTATGATAATTTTGTGAAATTGAAGAACTAATCCAATTTTAGGATTTAAATCTAAGCTAAGATCTATTTTCAATTTCGCAATTTGTTCATAGAATTATAAGTTTCTGAGTTTTTCGAAATTAAATTTACTCTAAATTCGATTGAATTCTCTGGTTTTACTCGTCATTGGAATTTGTACCGATTGATTTGTGATTCAAATTTCTTACCTGGATTGGATGTTGATGTTTCAAATGCCAGGTTAATAGGTTTATGTTGAATTTCTGGTTTTTCAATTCGTTGATCTGATGGAATTATGCCGTCGTCTGTCGCTCCTAAATCTACTTTTTACCATTGTTTCGTTTCAATTTTAAATTTTGATCAATATTTCACACGGTTTACTCAAAATGAAGCATCGATCCATAAATAAATGAATTTGTAGTTGGATGCCGGCGTAAGGTTTTGGCAACCATCCGTCAGAGAGATCTCCATTGTCAAGGAGACCTCCATATTTGACGGTGGTTGCAAAATTTTAGTGTCGGTGTTTTAGGAAGTTCTCTGTTTTTTAGAATATTTTAAATTTAATGAACCTTATTTATTTAGCTGAATAATCGTATAATTTAAAAAGGAATCTGGACCTTTGATTAATATCAAATCCACAAATCACTTTTCATATGGGGACTAATCCGGTACTTCTCTGTTTTAGGGTTTCCCATTTGTTAATTGTTTGTTTTAGGGTTTCCCATTTGTTAAGTTGTGATTTTAGTTTTATGTATATTTAGCAACCATGGATAAGTATTTAACAAAAAGATAAAACTAACGATTCATAGTCTACTTTATTTATTTGTAACCAATGCCCCCTCTCGAACAAGATTCTGGTTCTGTCCTTGTTACAATTACTAGAAGGACACTCGTGTAATACAACGAGTTACATGAAATAATGTTTCGTTTTATTTTTGTCTCTGTCGATATATTACGGTTTTATGTGATTTTGAGAAAGTGATTATGTTTATATTCATAAAAATTTTAAAAATATATATCGATTTTAGTATAAAATTAACTATTTAGAAATTCTCATTCTTTATGTAATTTTTTTAATTTAAAATTTTATTATAATTTAATTTAAGTTTAATAATAAAGTAATTTATTTTGGTTTAATAATATATTTTTGATAAAGATAATGATTAAGTATTATGTTATAAATGTAATTCAATTATTATCTTAATTATATTTTAGATTTTATTATTTAAAATGAGAAGTTTATCCTGTAGTTGATTATGTTTATCTGCACTTAGTTACACGAATTCAAACATGAAGCTTAAATAAGTTRTAATTACGCACAATTTACTTGTAATCTTGAATTTTAAGTATTATGTATTAATAAATAGTACTTTATACATAAAAATGGTTTCTAAGAGTATTTGTCAAATTCTTTATGATATAGTATAAATATGTATTTTGAACCTATAATTGAAAACAAATTGATTGATTGTTGAACTTATTGAATATTATTTAAAAGAGAATGAATTCTCACTTTTCAACGACAAGATAGTCACATTTTGGTTTACAAGCCATTGCAAAAATAACAGTGTCATGCGGACAACCTTCTTAATGTATACTTTGCACGAAAAATAATACAATCCAAAGGTACTTCTAGCTCTAGTTATTGTACCTCGAATGATGACTATGAAAGTCTACAATAACTTAAATATAATATATAAGGAAAATATAGCTTTGTAAACATGGTTTCATCAATTGAAATTCTAGTGACGTTCAGAATATTGAGTTAATTCCACATGGTTAATGATTGTAGAAAATCTTGGAATAATTTTTTAAATTTAATTCCTTAAAAAAACTTTTTAGATTTTATAGAATACTTTTTAAATTTAAAGAACATTCATCTAGTCGATATCTTAAAAAAAAACCGGATTTTTATAACGTTGTCATCGTGATCGTTTTCAAGTCTTTTAATACTTCATGAAGCTAAATAAAAACAACAAAATAATCCTTCAAGCGTATATAAGTAGTTAAATTTTCTACAACCTTTATAATATAAACCAATTGAACCACAAGGGTGGTGCCTGATTGGTTTGAGTCTGGCTCCAAAGGTCAAAAGTACCAGGAGGTCACATGTTCAAATCCAAGGAGGAATAAAAATACCCTTGTGGCCACGAAGGTTCAAATGCGGTGACTCCGGGCTATCTGCAAAACAGGTGGTCGTCCTGAGATTAGTCGACTCGCATAGCGAATTGGATATCCAGGTTAATAATATATATATATATATATATATATATATATATATATATAACCAATTGAAATACAATTGTCATAAGTATTTCATTTGTATTGCATTTTTGGTCTCCTGGTTTGTTGATTTTCTTGGATTTGGACCTTACAAAATGTTAATGAAATGGACCAAAACCAAGCATTTTCGCATACCACATGATTTTTTTTGCAATAAATTTTTTATAGAGACCAATTCGAAAAAAATCAACAAACCATGAGGACCAAAATTGCAATTTACTCTTCTTATATTGACGGTTTATAATAAGTGTTTGCAAAACGGACCCTTATGTTGCTTATCTATTAAGTTATACATCAAATATTACGCTTGAGTTCAAGACCTTTAAACCATTTAGACCAGAGTATGAATCATTTGAATGAATTCGATTTGGTAATTACACAATGTTGTGTTTATCCTATAATCGAAGGTATTAAATAATGGTTGATGGTGATGGAAAAGCTGTATCAAACAATTTTAGGTGTTGGCAAAACGACCACAAATGTTCATTACGTGAAATAAACGATACCAGTTGTTTACCATTTTCTCCCAGCGAGTGAGTTTTATGTTTAATGCCAGATGAAAAGGGTGAGCCTGATTGTGGTTACGTCAGGTTAAGGTTAGCAGTTGTCTTGAAAGGCCTATGCCTATCTTTCTGATTTCAATGTGATGTTGCCTCAAGAGCTGCAAGCGGCTTTGTAAGCCATAATTATAGTTAGGCATGGGAATGGAGCAGGGACCTCAATCCCCGTCCCCGTCCCCGTCCCCGATTACTTATCTCTATCTCCGTCCCTAACCCCATCCCAACCGGGGATTATAATCACATCTCCATCCCCATCCCCAACGGGGAAACGAAGATTTTTTTTCCCATTTATACAAGTTATTTTGAATTAGATATGTGATAGACCATACATGTTTAAATCTCAAACATTTATAATAAACCTAAAAATCAAAATGAATTTAATTTAATACAAAAAAACCACATTATATAAGAACTAATAACCTAAAACCAAAAGAAAATCAATTTAATCCAAAAAAAACTTAAAGTCACATGTACCAAAAAATATTGAGTAATATAAAACCATATCGAGTAATATACAAAACTTGTCGAGTAATTGTATTTTGACTTGACATCCAAAATATTACATATTAACATAAAATAAGTCACAATTTTAGATTATAAACCTAGTTAGAAAATAAAAAATTATGAATTACTGCTTTAGTTGAAATAAATAATATATATATATATATGTGTGTGTGTGTGTGTATAATTTATTAATTAATATATATGTATATATAACAGGTACGGGGCGGGGCGGGGAGTACCAAACCCGTCTCTGTCCCCATCCTCATCCCCGGTTTGAGACAAACGGGGATCCCCATCCCCGATTTAGCGGGGAATCCCCGTCCCCGACGAGTCGGGACCCATTCCCATGCCTAATTATAGTTGTCTTTGCTCTTTTACAAAAGTATATCACGAAAATGTTGTTTATGATGTAAAAATGGATGGACAACTAAACATATGTTATGTATAGTTTTTTTTTTATTTTTATGGATAAAGATTGTTCTAAAAAATAATGAATCATTTAAAAATTGCCTTGGGAAGAAGTAAGTAATGCTCTCATTGGAGTTCACCATCACCAAAATATATTGAGAAAGAGAAAATATGATACGTTGTTTTTGTGAATATATAAAAAATAGATAGTTATGACACATTTAATATAACATCCGTGTTCCGTTGACTTGTACGAGTTGTATGAAGTGAGCTTTGGATAAAACTGTGCATAATGTGGTTGTACACTATGTTTAACCGACTTGTATCTCGAACTAATTTGTGATGCAATACCATACAAGGGGTCATATGCGTAGAAAATGGAACTAAACTTAACTTAAACTGTTAATTAAATTCTTATTAGGATACAAAGTTGAGAAACTAAACTTGAGGGGTTAGAATGAAATATTTTATGAAAATCATTTTTAATCCTAACGTCTTCTTCTTCATTTTTCAAGAACTCCCTTCAACAAACCTAAATCAAGTGAAAAAATCATTAAGATAGGTGAAAGTTTAGAAGATTAAAGATTAAAAACTCAAGGTATGTGTATAATTTTTAATCTATTCAAGTTGAAATTCTTATTTAGTAAAATTCGATGCTGTGTGCAGGGGAGGATCTGAAATTGTGGCTTGCTTGTAAAATTCTTATAAAATCAGTCGCTGATCCAAATTAGATTTCTAACATATTGTTGGAAAGCTTGAAGTGTCTACTACATCTTTGTAGTTTACACCAAGACCAAATTTCTGACTCTAAATAGCTCAAAACATTGAGTTTCCAAAACTGGTCAATTGGAACTCGGGAATTACGTGGTGTTGTTAAATTCATATAAAATCGGTCATTTCTTCAAATAAGGTGAATCTTGTGCGATTAGTTTCTTATAAATCATTTGTACAACGCTCATTTATAAGTTAAAGCTTTATTTTGCCTCTAAGTATGTGTAAAACGTCAAAAGTCTAGAGGGACAGAAGCTGATATGTGCAATGACTTGAGCTGCAGTTGCTGTTTGTACCTTATGCATATCCGATTTATAGTATATGAGGAACTTATACCAATCAAACCTAAATCTATCTAGGACTACTCTAGATATAAGGAGTAGAAACATTGGTCTAAATATTATTTTCTCACCTAAATATGTTGGTTATCGTGTAAGAGGTAATGAGTTATTGTTTAACATATGGTGAATTTGGGTGACTGGAATCAACACTAAGGACGTTCTAAACTCGTGGTATTCCATCAACCACTATTGAAGTACCGTTATCATACTTCACTTGACACGGGGATAATCATTTGCATAAGGCTTCCTAATCCGAATAAATTGTGATAAATTTCTAACACATTGGTTCCAAATTGCCTTTGTGCTTGTTAAATATTATTGAACTTTGTTTTTCTTTTGAAATATATGACTGAAATTATTTGGAACATGGATCACATGATCAATTGACTTGTTATATCGAATCCATAGCGAACCCTTTGTATAGACTCAATATTATGGGCACCGGTATTGAGATGTTTCCATGATAACTAAAATAAACATGACATCCTGTTGATCCTCTCTCTCAGTGATTTGATGATAATCCCTTTTTCCTTTCGATGTATTTTTGTGTTTCTGTACTTTCGGTTCCAGCGATCAATACACTGAGCTTGTTCAGTGATCGCTGAAGAACTCGTTTTGTAATTCATTCAGAGACAACGATACTTCAAGAAAACAACACTCACACCAAAGATCCTTCAGCAAACGTCGAAGACTGAAACT